ATATCCATTGGATGGACGATTGTACGTATTAAATAAAGTAGCTGAGCTAAATCGATGGCCAGCAAACTATGGTGATGGGCGAAGCTCAGCTTGCCGCGTGGTTTTCTGGGAAGTTCTATTAGATCACAGGGATTTGCATATTGTCTCGGTCAGCTTTCACACCACAATGACAATTGAATCACTGCAACTCTCTGGCCCTCTGCAGAAAACGTTTCCTGATATTTGATGGAAAGCATCAAATCCGGCACTTGGCTGTGGTCGGTGCCCGTGACCATGCTGCTGTTCTCATCAGCACGTCGTCTTGATCACTGTCTGTCGTGTTGATGCGGCAGCCAGGCTGGAAGTGGGGAGGAAAGGCAAGCCCGAGGGGAAACGGCCACCAGGCACAGTGAAAGCCATGGGCTGCTGGGTGACTTGTTTCCAGAAGATGCATGGTCTAGTGGGCTTCTTTGAAAAAATTAATTAGTTGTTATTTTTCGTTCCTTTATTGGGACGATATATAGAACAACATTTGCCAGTTTAACATTTACGGTTTGCTGTCATCGATTACATTGGCAATGATGTGCAGCTGTCACCAATAGCCACTGCTGTGTTTTTATCATCCGCTGGTGGACTTTCTGACACGCCAAGGAATATTCTCTAAACTTTTAACTCTGCAGGGAAATGTGTCTGAAGCCCATCGTCAGATCCTCTATGAGTCTGTATACTGCCTGCATGGGAATAAGAAAAGACACTCCCTTCTTCTTAAGGGAATTGTTTTAATCAGTATGTTGACTCCGTCCCAACAACTGTGCTTTACTACTGAGACCTGAAGAACTAGATGGTGCCCAGCTACTGCTACCAACCTTCTGATCAGGCTCACAACAGGTGGATCTGGATATAATGGGAGCAAAATGCGGGACAAAACTCAAAGTCATAAAAAGCCCAGGCTTACTAGACGGGTTGAGGCTGGAGGACTCCCTGAGATACTTTTAAATCTGGAGCCAAAACTTCTCCATGAAATTATCTTTCAGCTAAATAACAGATTGGGTCGTAAAATAAACAATATTACCCGTCAGTACTGTGCACCTTTAAAAAGTCGAGAATATGAGACCAAACAGTCAACATTCACACTGCATGGAAGACAAGAGGGCGGGGAAATTAGAGTACTGGAAATGCAGCAGCCTGAATGGGAAAAATGGAGAAGCTGACTTACTTTGAAGAAACTATCATCGATGTTCAGTGAACAAATTGTATAGAAAGTGTTCGATGGGAACCCAATTTTCTGGATAAATGTTCATGAAATAGAAAATAAAAATAGTATTCAAAGAAAAGATGCTTTCCTGCTAGGAAATGTGTATATAATTCTACCATGTATTCTATGTGAATTATGTTCTGCCCTCCACCCTCCAGATAGTGCAGTGTACGACATGCTGTGCGGTCCACGGCACCTCTCCTTGTCATCAGTCCTAGTTCTATGTCTTTCCTGTCTTAGAGTGAGCGCCCCTGTTGAGGACCTCCCATGCTTAGCTACCACTGCCCCTCCTCTGTACTTCCTTGGACTCCGGGGATCCAGCAGACCCTGGTGCCTCCTCATGATCCACTTTGGGACCCCACAGGCAGAGATGGAGTTGGTCCAGCGGATTGGCATCCCGGCCAGTAAGATCATCTATGCCAACCCCTGTAAGCAAATTGCCCACATCAAGTATGCTGCCAAGCATGGGATCCGCCTGCTGAGCTTCGACAACGAGATGGAGCTGGCCAAGGTGGCAAAGAGTCACCCCGGTGCCAGGTAAGCAGAGGCCCATTTGCATGCGGAGGCTGGGCTGCTGTGTGAGGGAGGAGGGGTGTGGGGGAGTGTGCAGCTGACATGGAGAACTGAGCTTGGGATGAGGCTTGCTGGTGGGCCCTGCCCTGGTGCTGGCCAGTCACAGGAGGTTGGGCAGGTACGCCTGGACTGGGCAGGTACGCCCGAACAAAGGCAGAAGTAACTCCTAGCTAAGGTGCAGGCAGGTGTTAGGGAGGGCAGAGTCCCAGCCTCAGAAAGCGAGAGGGGAATGTCAGCGAAACTTTTCGAAGGAGGCGGCATTTGAAGTGGGCCTTGAGGAATACAGAGAAGCTGGTGGCGTATAGCGAGTATACACAGTGTACAGTATAGCGAGTATATACAGTGTACAGTATAGCGAGTATACACAGTGTACAGTATAGCGAGTATACACAGTGTACA